GAGAGAGAGACGGTGCTTCAGTCTGATCCATTAGAGAGAGAGAGAGATGGTGCTTGAATTGACGTTCCTGATGAGCATGTTGTTTTATTTCCAGGTGATTGCTGGCTCCTTGCTGCTATTGCATCTCTGACCCTCAACGAGGAGGTCCTGAGCCGGGTTGTGCCCAGTGGACAGTCGTTTGGTCCAGGATATGCTGGAATCTTCCATTTCCAGGTCACTCTCAACACCACTTGCTCTTCACATTATTATTAAACCTGGGTGTCCCCCCTTTCCCGGTCCCTGCCCCTTTCCCTGTTCCTGCTTATTTCCTGGCCCCTTGTCCCTTCCCCTTTCCCCGTCACAACTCATTTCCCGGTCCGTGCCCATTTCCCCATTCTCTCCCCCTCTCTCTCCCTGCCCCTTTCCCCCTCTCTCTAGTTGAGGAGATGGACCTGATTGAGCTCTACAAAATCTTGAGAGGTATAGACAGGGTGGATAGCAAGAAGCTTTTTCCCAGAGTGGGGGACTCAATTACTAGGGGTCACGATTTCAAGGTGAGAGGGGAAAAGTTTAAGGGAGATATGCGAGGTAAGTTCTTTACGCAGAGGGTGGTGGGTGCCTGGAACGCGTTGCCAGCGGAGGTGGTAGAGGCGGGCACGATAGCGTCATTTAAGATGTATCTAGACAGATACATGAATGGGCAGGGAGCAGAGGGATACAGATCCATGGAAAATAGGTGACAGGTTTAGATAGAGGATCTGGATCAGCACAGGCTTGGAGGGCCGAAGGGCCTGTTCCTGTGCTGTAATTTTCTTTGTTCTTTGTTCTCTCTCCCCCTGCCCCTTTCCCCCTCTCTCTCCCTGCTCCTCTCCCCCTCTCTCTCACTCCCTCTCTCCCAGTGTCTCTCACTCACTCTCTCTGTTCCATTCTGTCTCCATCTCAATTGTTTAAGGATTCCTTGGAGTTGAGCCTGGTTCTCCTCTGTGTGTGTGTGTGTGTCTGTCTCTGTGTGTGTGTGTGTCTGTCTCTGT